AAAAAACAACCTTGTAATGATCAAAACAGCGCCAGTCACATGTTTTTAATGGAAAATATATGCCACTAAACAAGGTCCCATCTCGAGAAAAACACTTTCATTCCGAGCACTACACCCTCGCTTTTATTTTCAAACACTCCCGTGTTTCTTTGACAACAGAACCACGCGTGAATGCGCGTGCGTAAAGCCCTGTAGACGCTGGAGGAATGTGGCGCACATTTTTCCAGTCTTCATGTGGCCAGTTGATGTTTCTGCTGTACAACATTTAAGCTGTGTTCAAGTGTCATATGCAAAACCAATAACTGCAAAACTAATAAGGTGACATAAGTCAGATTGCTGTGAATTTGTGCCAAATATTTGGAAAGATCTAACACCAGGAACTGTGTTTCTGCAAAACTAAATTCTAAGTATGATGGCAAAGTGCTGCAGAATTTACTCCCTGCTTTGCTACACATCAAAAGATCATTTTACTTGTTTACTTGTTCTGTTTTGTTATATACTGAATTGCTGCTTTTATAATTCCAAATGCTTTAGTTAAAGATTTTTAAATCGCAGTTTTCACTTTTCAGATGAGGAAAAAAACAAGAAATAAGTTACTCACTTGAATGTGCGGGTGCTTGTGTGTGTGCGTGCTTGTGTGTGTGTGTGTGTGTCTGGCACTAGACGGATGTTTTTACAACCATCTGCTGAAGGAGGAAAGTTTCTCTGAGTGCTTACACTAAATCTTAGTTTAGGACATGGATGCACAAGCAGGACTGTGGGACATCAAATAGTCTGAGAGCCAGTCAAAATTAAATATGCCATTTACACGAGTGGGATGTGGAAACTAAAAGCTTCCAATGCACAAGAAATAAGTCAAACTTAGAGAAGTAAGAGGCATCCTGTGCCAAGCAGTTGAACTTTTCAAATAAGCAATCAAAGCAGAGTACTACAAGTTTTAAAGCACGTCTTTGTGTTTAAAATTTGAAGTGATTTACCGCATATGTATACATTAGGCACATTAGGCCTTTGTTTCCAATAGAGAAGTAGTGCAGTAAGAACAAATAACAAAAAACTGTTTAAACTCTAAAAACTGTGTTGCATGCTGGGAAAAGTCAAGAAAACAAAAGTTGATTGTCTCAAGACTTTTCAGTCTTCTGAATACTTACAGAACGCATCAAAAGGTGCTATGACATCAACGCTCAGTTCCCATCTTAAGTCAAATCTAAATGCGTCTGTATTCATAAAATCGAACCAGACACCTCGCCACTCACTCACTGTCATCGCTTCTCAGCGTTCCTCTGCACGCTAACACTGCATCAGCATGCGATAATTTATCTCACGGAGCGCTTTCTATCCTCAGAGGAACTCTTCACGCGAGATATTCTCAACACCTGCACCCACAGCATCACAGCACACTCCTGGCACAGGGCCATCTCCTCTTGATACCTCACACTTTGCACTTACATAATGTGGCTTATGGCAAGAGGCAAAATCCAAAACATTTTTTATGCAAAGTGTGTGGGTCAGGCATATTTTAAGGCTTGTAGCTGCTGAGTTGACTGCAGCGGCGTGTGTCATCCTGAGCCATGGAAGCTCAGCGACTCGTACTGTTCATAGAGTGCTTTTGCCACGTACTGGGGGAGTCTTTGTAGTGCAGATTTAAACCATATGGCTGGGCCATGTGACCAAGTGAGAGTTATTTATGGTTGTTTTTTAAAAGGTATTGCTTTATGTACACTTTTTATTGTACCAAAGAACATAAAAGGGAGGGGCACATAATGTCAGATTTGGTTATATAAGAACAGGAAGTACAGATGAGGTGAGGTTATCAACTCAAAGTTTTCCATTTTTGGCAATCAGAGAATAGTTTGAGTAATCTCATCTGCATCAGATTTTTCCAGCGTTATTGCTTCTGTTATAAAGGGGTGCGTTTGGTTTGCTTATCCATTATATGAATAGATGGATTTTAAAGTTAATTACTTGACTGAATCCAACAGCTTTACCGATGATAGAACTAATAATAGCCCAACACGTGTAAGAGGTGCTAATACAGCCATACTACTATACAACTGCCGATGGAGTGCTTGTTGATAAATGTTGTCTACATTGCTCCTGTGTACTACACTGCACAAACAACAGTGAACCGCAGCGTTTCAGTCTAGTGGTCACATTTTTGCTATACAGAGCCAAAGCCGGGCAAACGCGCATGGCTGCCAAGTAGGATCTCTGAATCTTGCTCACTTTTTGAAGTTCACTACAAATGCGCTTGTTGATGTGCAGCTCTAAAACACAAAGGATGAGGTGGTTTTTTTATGCAACCTTAATGTTGCATAACCTAATGTAATAGTTTGGACTCAAACTATTACTTTATTGGAGATTATGTATCTGAATTTCAGGAGCAGGACCACGCCTCCAATCACACTCCTTCTGGCTGCCATCTATATAGGTTCCCCTAGTTCTGCAATCTGTTCATTCTCATGTACGTGCCCCACCCTCCCTCCCTCCCTCCTTCTTCTCCATTCTTCAACTTCTTCACTCCTATTTAGTACATGGGGATCTGCCAGGCTGCCAAACCGCAGCTCAATTCATGTCAAAGTATTCACTTTTACCTACTAAAACGCTGACCAACTCAAAATGAGGACGTGGGCCCAGCTAGTGAATTATTTTTAAAAAGACAACATCAGAGCAAAGTATAGTTTTTGCTGTCAAAAATGAAAAAGAAAGAAATTATAACATCCAAATTTAGCACAGCAGGGTGGCACGGTGGTGTGGTGGTTATCACCGCTGCCTCGTAACGAGAACAATATATGTTCAATTGCAACAACTTGCCAGGTTCTGTCTATGGCTTTCACAGTCATTACGCCATCTCGTGAGCATTAGTGGTTGTCTGTCTCTCTGTGATAGTATGGTGACCTGTCCAGTGTGCTTCTTAAACCTTTCTGCTCACACATACAGGAGAACCGAGCGAGGGCTATGTTCCTATTTAGAAATAGTTTGGTTTTTAAGATGGAATTCTCTTATATGTTTTATGCATTAGAAAATTATTGTTTTTTTGGTGCTGCTAGAGCTGACGTGGTTAAGCTAGAAACCCACGTACCAAATGAGCTGCAGGGGCCGCGGGTTCAAGTCTTCTCCGATCATTTCCTGCGTGTCATTGCCCCTGCTTTCTCCGTTCTTCCTTGTCTACTGCCCCTCCTCTCCATCCAAAAATGTTTGCACCCAATAGTTTTCAGAAACAATGAAAACATTGCAAATGCATTTAGGTATGGTGTGTGGCCTTTCTTCTGTGGGAAATCTAACCCAGTGGTTAGCTCGTCCATGATGTCTGTGTAGGT